GAGATCCTTTGTCTTCCCATATTGCTTGAAACCTGTGGCCTGCTTAATAATGTGGAACATCCTTCTGAAGTAGATTTCCTTTAATTGAACTCATCAGAAAAACTAATCAACCCAGCGCTCTGAAATTAATTATAGAGATTCAAAGAGCCCTGATACACAAAACCATCTATAAATTTAATAGCACAACAAAAAATAAATTTTCTGACACTTAAATCCATTTTCATAATAATTTGGAACACGGTGTAGTAAAATGAAAAGGATGTAGGGAAGGACAAATTTTTCTCTGTCTCAAGTTTTATTAAGGCTTGTGAAAATTTTTCTCTCTTTAAACATATTTCCTCATTTCTTTAAATTGTTGTATGTTCTTGGCTTGGTTCTGTGCAGAGCTATTGCAACCTAAGCCTCAGGGTTCCCACAGTGATTGCTGAGCAGATTGGCGATCACAGAGTAATAAGACTGTTGAGGAGAATTAGTCTGTTGGTTTCGGGTCATATGATGCGATGGCCCCCGACAATAAAGAAAACCGTCCGTGTGTGACCCACAGGGCAAATGCCTGAACCATTCAACATATTTCTCCTCATCCTCCCCTGGTGCACCACAGGGTCACTGTGACCTGGTGTGAGAGGATGAGGCTTAGTCACACAGACATATTTCTCAGCTCAAGAATTGCTTAGAATCAAGGCTAATAAAAACGAAGACAGACTCCAGACTCATTGGCCGCATTATTTCATCACTCGCTTGTCAAAGGTCGAGTTGGGAAAGCTCACCGTTTCCCTCCTCATCCAGAGCACAAAGTGGCTCATTCTGAAGACACAATGTAGCTTCATAAACAGACATCTTTCACATATTTCACAAGGGCGCCTGTGAGGAGATATTTGTTTTCCCTGCAGCCTAAGAGTCATCAAGTCACACTGGCAGGGAAAAAAAAATAATGTCATTAATGAAAGCCAAATTGAATTAAAGCATGGATTTGACCGTGGGTTTCCTCAATGTCATGGGCTGACACAGAGATTCCTCTATCTGCCTCTTCCAAACACACACACACACACACTCATATATATATATACAAATAATCCCTTCACTGGGAATGAGGTCTCTCAATCTCCACAAACAATCAGATAATCCTCCAGGAATCCTTTACTTCTCATGGTCTCTATATCACAGATAAAAAGGGAAGGGAGGGAGGCAGACACATACCCATTCACAATCACACACACGCGCATTCGATTCATAGCAGCTGCCTTTATCCTAAAATATAGTCTGCCCATCTTAAGCAGCTCAGGTGGCATCAGGGAGTTTACCATATAAATGACCTGCCTGCCTGCCGGTAGATAAAACTTACTCCGTTGACTGAGTGCCATAAAGTGTTTTGTGCAAGAGCGAACGAGCCAACCTGGTTGCTGGTAAGAACACAGTGTGAGCCTGTGTGTGGTCTCACTCTCTCTGTGTGTGTTCGTTGCTGTACTTCTTATTTAACAGTGCCTTGAAGACGAACTCACACCCTGGACATTATATTTTCCCCCCTTTTTCAAGTTTAACGTGTTCTTTTGGTAATATACCTGAAAGACTGACAAACTAGGGCATAGTGAGATAGAAGGATTCTTTTTCTCAATAGTAAACGTGTGAGGAGTGTGGTGCATTTGTATTTGGTCTTCCTGAGCCAATACAATCTTTTTTCTGTACTTACAGCTGCAAATCTTTTGGGATTTCTCTAGCAGCTTCACACGTCTAAATATATATCCAGCTTCAAACAGATTTAACGGAGAGAGTCTGTGAACATTAATTTTCAAGTCTTCTCACAGATTTTCAGTAAGATTCATGTGTAGACTTCAACTGGGTCATTCTAAAACATTAATAAGCTTTGATTTAAATCATTCCACTGTCGCTTGTGTTTTGTGTTTACTGTTGCTCTCCAACTGAAGGCAAAACTGCTGGTCTCTATTTCTCTTTTGAGCTCCATCCATCTTTCCATTCACTCCCTGTTGAAGAAAAACATCCCACATCATGATATTGCCAACACCATGTTACGCTATGGAGACGCTGTGTTAGTTTTACAGTGTTTCAAATGCTAACCAAAAAGTTCATTTTTGGTCACATGTAAGTAAAGCATCTTCCTCTACATTTTCAATATGCTCCATACAAAACTTCTGGGAAATCACAAGCAAAACATGTAATTACTTTCCATTTTTTCTTTGTATCACTCTTTCATAAATGCTACCTTGATGAAATCCACAATTATTACATGTATATTGTTTAATAATTCTGTTATTTCTGAAGGTAATTTGTTGCAATGAATAATATGTTTCACTTGCAGAGCTTTTTCACTCTGCAAGTGAAAAAACTGATCTTTTTTTTTTTTTTTTCCCAGAGCTGCTGTATCTGTTACAAAAAAAGACAAGTGGCTGTCACGTCTTTGATTTGTTTCTTGATCAGCACCGTCACTCCGGGCTGCCAGGAATCCCTCTGCCAACCCAGCAGCCCGAACCCATTCGCCAAACACAACGGGGCTGGCTGACAGCGAAACCGACTGGCAACCGGACCGCTGCCACTCGGCTGTGGCGACGCGCCTGCTGTCTGTTACACTGTTGCATTTGAAGACGCATGTAAATAGGATCTGAATGAGCTTCTCGCACCTGCAGCTTGTGAGGTGATGGAGTGCGCTGCGTGGGATTATGGGAACAGCCAGCCATGAGAAACATTTTTTTCCCTAAAATAATCCCTCAATGCATTGTTTCCTTCAATCCTTTTTTTTTTTTTTTCATCTCGCCTTACTCTGTCCCTCCCGTCTGTTTCTTCACAGACCACACCGACACACAATGGGAGAATTGGTATTTTTAGAATAGAAGCCTCAAGAGGATTCTCATCAAATATATTCAAGATGCAATGTGCTTAAAAATGTATTCGCCCCCGTTAACTTGGTTGTTTTCCATATTCACGAGCAAATACAAACAAAAGCAATCCCAAACATGGCACCTTCGAAATGCACCTTAGCTTTGGTGCCTTGCCATTGTGCGAGGGAGATGGAGGGCATTGCTATCGCACCAACAGTGTAGCTGAGTCTGAGAATTAAAGAAGTCTTTGAACTGTGCAACTCTGGCTGCACAGAGAAACAGCTGCAGCTTTAAAAGCCACTTTTTTTTTTTTGCCCTAAAGACACTTGCAGTACAACGCTCCAAAAATAAGCTTTTTTAAAGCTGCTGACCCAAACATTTTTCAGTGGTGTAAATCAGAATAGCAGCAATTCTGGTTATAAGAGGGCACCACATAGTAGACCAAAACAATTTCAGATATATATTCTTGTTCGCCACTGAAACATGCAAAAGAAACTGAACAAGGTGCGTGAATTAGTCGATACGAAGGAAATGTGACGCCTCCTTCTCCACACTGGAACTGAGACAAATATGAAACAGATCTGAATGAAGCTTTCCCAGAATGTATCAGAGCCAAAATTCTGTCCTTTTTGTTGGAGCTGAGTCTGATATTTCTTCACTGTTCATTAATTAACTTTATTTCAAAAGGAAAGGGAGAACATGGATGTAGAACAGTAAGAACAGAGAAGCTTGGAAATAAACAAAAGGGCCAGATAACTTTAATAATTTAAAACTGGCAAAGAAACTGTGTGAGTATTCATATGCTTTGAACTTCATTTTCTCTCAGATTACAGCCATAAACTTCAGTGTAATTTAGTGGGATTGCATTTGATAGAACATGAGCCCATGCATAATTGTGAAGAGAATGAATAATAAAACATGACTTTCATTTTTATTTTATTTTTTTTCTAAAAAAGTCTGGAAAATATGGCATTTGTATTCAGTTTATTTTGCTGCTACTAAAAAAGATCTAATTGTCGACAAACTGAATAAACTCTGACCAATTTCCTGTGACTGCTTAAGAAAATATTTACACGCTGGCCTCTCAATCTCTTAAAACATTGGGATATTGTTTCACAACCAAACCCTGCTTCACCCATCTTGTTTTTTCTTTAACTTTGGAGAATTTCTTAGTCTTCAAATTTTGACCCTAAGCACATTTAAACTGTTTTGTTTGGGGGGAAAATGCAATTTTTGGGGTTTTCACATACTTTCAGATGAATGTGACAAAAAGTTTTAACATCTGATGCCTTCATAGAAAAGCAAAATTTATAAATTATTCTCAGTTACACTACTGATGAGGAGACTTTTAAAAGAAGTTGGTTGCAATGGAAAGTGCAAACGTGGGTAGTGAAGATTGGTAATGGCCCAATATTTCTCTGTCAGCAATTTTAAAATGTATTTATTGCCAAGCACACACATTGCCGGCATGTAGCTGCATTTTTGTAGCCGAGCCAAAAGTTGACTAAGAATTTAAGTCATATGAGGTCATGTCCATGCCGCTACAATTAAAAGGTGCAGCGGCTTCTTGTCATACAGGAGTTAGCATAAAATGAATCAAATGCAATAAATATATCCATAAAGCTTTTGTTACTATATGCCAGTGGAACAAGACATTTTTCCCACCTTATAAGTTAAAATGTCATTTTCCACTGACAGATTATTTTACTTAAAACCAGTACTTTTACAACAATATTAAGAAATTATTTGCTTAAAGCGAGCTTCTATGTCAGACTGAAAAGTTACATGCAAGTTAGTTTTGTCTAATACAAAACAATTTCAAGTGTACTGAGATATTTGTACTAGAAAATACACCAAAAATACTTGGTAAAACTTTGCGTTTCTGCAGAAGGTGGAAATGTAAATATGATTCCTGCTCTCAGGAATCACTCAGTCACCAGTGACTCTTTAGCCAAAAGATGATAAATGAAAAAAAAACTAACAGATGACTATTTCAAGAATGCAAGTGTGGGAGTCAAGTTGTGTCACATCACATGATGTCTCGCTTGGATTTTACAAGCCAGACTCGAGGGAAGAATAAAACCTTTAGGACATAACGGAGGATTCCTCCGATATGAATTACTCACAAGAGGACAATCATTTCTTACAATAGGAGCCTATTGTTCATACCTTCTTTCCCTAAGAGGAAATCCAGAAAGTGGTAGGTGTAGGCCACTCCAACTTTAGTCTCCACTTGAGGCCGTCTTAGGGTGGAGTAGATGTTGCCAGGGCTACGCCTTTCCTCTGTCTTCCTCAGCTTTGGGAGCCTACACCCCATTTCTCTGGAAAGATTGAGGAGAAAATAGTGCTAAAAGTACTTTAAAAATCACCAAGAACATTCAGAGAATTGAGGCAATAAAGCTGGAGAGAACGTCGTTACGATTTCTAAATATAAACAATGTATTTGCACTTTTTGTGGAGTGTGATAGTCACACACAAACAAAACTGCTATTGTTCATATGCCACCTTCAGCTTTGAGAAACGATGTGTGAATCAAACTGACACGTTCCAACCACACACGCACACACACAAACTGAAATATGAGCGTGTCAGCCATTACCTACTCGCCGGGCTGTGATACGGGCATCTCCTAATCAAATAGGGCTGATTGAGAGCGACATGTTTGATCAGAATGAATTAAAGCAGAAATGAGAACGATTTCCTGCCCTGTCAAGCAGAGCGACATGAGACGACACGGACAGGGAAGAGGAAAGCAGAAGCAAAAAACGTGGAGGATGTCGAACAGATAACCCATTTCTATGCTGATCCGAGAAATATGTGATAATATGAGGCTTTTTCTAAATGGAAACACTTGAAAATATCTTAAAAGAAGGATTTGGATAAGCCGTTGAATTTCTTTTAGATATCCCTCTTCCTTTGAAATTCAAAAAGCAATTTTTACCTAAGAATGCCAGTTTAAATATGTATAAGCATAGAAAAACAGACAAAAGTAGAGGAAAGACAAAAAAGGAGAGTAAAATCACAAAAAAGGGGGGGGGGGGTAAGGTTTAAATATCAAGCTAATTCGAAGCGACAGGACTGTTACTCTCAAACCATCCCCACAGATACGCTTAATATTTGTGTCTGCACATCTGCATATCTATATGAGATGATGTGTTTGTCTTCCCCAGGGGAAGGTCTATATCTGTATCTCTATATCTGTTCAGGGAGCATGGAGAATGACATGGTAACTCTCATTGGGCCAACTGCATGGACATTAACTCTGCTAACGATCCTAACAGAGCACATTATGCTCTGTGTGTGCATCTGTGTGTATTTTCTGACTTCCAGCTTTGACAGTGCTTTGAAAGGTTATGAAGTTCTAAAAAGAGGGCTGCATCGTTTTCATGCTTAGCTCATCTGTTTTAAACAGGGCACATATTTAAAATTTGCAGTGTAGGAATAATTAGGTGTCATTATTCTTTTAATACAACATGTCTTTCATAATGAGTACAAATGAGGAGAGAGGCAGGGATGGAGTTCTGGTGGAAGGAGAGTGAGACGCTCAGTATGCCTCAGTTTCTTAGCTCTCCTCTTCCTCCCACCATCCCGCTTTTTCCTCTTAAGTTCTTCGGCCATTAGCTCGCTCCATTTCAAAAGTACTTATCAGACCCAAACATTAATCACGCCTTTTCCGTTTAAGCTACTTTCTGCTTCTTTCTATCATCTTTGATTACCCTCCCTCCATTCATCTTCTACAATGCCCTTGATTAGTTTTTAGTAAACAATCAATTTGAGTCTGAGAACCCTACAGAGATGATGTTCTTTCCACCTTGTCTCCATCTCCATCTCCATCTCCAGAAGGGATACAACAATCCTCTCAGAACTCTCAAGAGGTCTGGGTCTTCTCTGGAGTCTCCATGTAGCGTAAAGTGCCCTGAAAAGATGACCACAAAGGCAAACTGGTGGATCAAGAGCTTAATTTATAGGCTCATCTCTTTCTTCACTACAACACTACAACAGCCAGGAGTTAGCCACTACTGCTGAGGAGGTCCCAACTAACCTACCCTTATCCTAATCCATCTTATTCTCAAAACAGCAGAACTCCTTTATTTGAGGTAGAGACCAAGCCCTGGTTCAGAGTTCATTTCACTGCACTTCAGAGAAGCTAATTCAAAAAGCAAAGTTCTTGATTTACTGGTTCACCAAAGTTTTGACCCTTATTTATACTCACGAGACACGGGAAATGGATCCCATCCAAAATGACATCTTGCAGACAAGCCACTGTAGGCAAGATGGAATGAGCAAAGTGGTTGTGCTCAGCCTTACATTGAAAACTTCTGTTATCCACAGGGACCTTAGAGTAGAGATGACACTTCTTCAAAGCAAAAAGTGTCAGTTGAGATGATTTGGACATCTGATCAGGATACCCCTTGGGTCCCTCCCTTTGAAAGTTTTATAGCCCTGTCCAAATAGGAAAGCCTCTAGTGCAAACCCAAAATTCACTGCAGAGACTATGTAATCCTGGCATGAGAAAGTTCTGGGATTCAAACTGAACAAGATGGAGAATTTTTCCAGGGAGAAGGTTTTCTGGGTTTCCCCCATTTTACTCAGCTGAATTTCAGAAAAGCAGAAAGACTAGACAGTCTATTCCTACTAATTCTGGATCTTGCTAGCCACAATGTGCTCTTTTGATCACAGAATTAGCCTGTACAGTATCCCACCATGTTCATATCATATCTGTATGCCGATGTTCCTTCGTGGAGGAGGTGGGCTCGAGTAAATGAGGCATTGTATTGCTTTTTTGGGTAGAGCCTGCCAAGGGTGCCATGCTAATCTGGACAACATTTGCTAATCACTGTAGTTTAACACTCAGAAAGTTGAATTACTCCAAGTCCAACCACAGCGCAGAAGGTAAAGCTCTGGTCAACATCATAACCAGAATATTGGGTGTACTGCCTCAGAATTTCAGACTAAAATCAGTTCTTCTCTGAATTGAAAGGCATCAGTAAGGACCATGTAACACTTCTGGTCTGACAATGCCTCAGGATCTCTCAGAATAAGTTGGAGAGTGTTGCTGGAGAGATAAATGCCTGCATTTCCCTCCTTGACTATTTACTTCATTGGCCCATTTTTGAATAAATGCAAGAGAGTGAATGGGGAAGTTTCTGGGAAGACATTGGACGAAAGCACATCCTACAACATTAAACCCTTCTTTCTTTACTGTCTTTAGACAAACGGCAAAAATATTTGCTTTTCATTCTTCACTCCATTTTTAAACACTTTCTTTCAGGTAGCTCTCCTACCAAGTCTGTCCTGAAAACTACTGTATTACAATGTTTCCAAAGAGAGGAAACATGGCTCTGGGTTATGACAACGTTAGCATGTAGTCCTGCTCCCAACATATTATCCTTGAGGGGTTTACTTTAATATGATTTGTCAGCTAAAGGGACAAAAGTTTCATGTGGGTATGTTGAGCAGGATTCATCTCCGACTGGTTAGGGAAAAGGGATTTGAGGTTAAAAAGAGGCTGAAGCACAGGAGAGAAACGATTTTAAATTGTACCATAAAGCAGATATTATTATGCCTCTGAGGTTAGATTTGAATATATGTTGTTAAAATCTATTCCAATCCAAGACACTTAAACTAAATCACTCACATTTAAATATTTCTCTCCATTTCCTTTGCATCATGCAGTATTTTAAACAACTATTGAAATCGCAACTGCCATGCTGCAGATGACAGTTGATTTTGTCTCCCTCAGATGAAAGGTGACTGGTTGTACATCTCGGTTCTGACAAGCCAAGTGTGTCAGTGTTTGATCCAGCATCTCATTTGCTCTTTAATTGTATACCAACAATTCAGATCTAAGCCTAGACCTCGCTTTTAACAGATGAACTCTGTCAGAGAGGGTTAGAAAACATGTCTCTAATTGAACACAACACTGACGTGAAAACATAAGGTTGTAGTGGCAGAGAAACTCGTCTGAGCTTAAGACTGGAGGCCTTTCTGGGGCCTTTTTCTCTGTGAGTTGACTTCAAATACAATCTCTCCCTTACTGTCACACAAACACACTGGGAGAAAAAGGGCGTTGACAGCAAAAAAAAAGAGACCCTTTTGCCAAAAAGGGAGAGACAAGAGTCACAGATGAAAGGAATAAAAAAAAGAGATTGAGGTGAAAGACAGGGAGTAGCAGCGGGCTTCTCATTAGAGAATCTCTTGTAACGGAGAGGTTTTGAAATGGCAGGGGATTTATGTGAGAGCATAATCTGCCTGCACTTTGTCACTGCTGTTCTACCTCCAGTGCCACTTGAGGGATGATGGTTTTACACGAAGCATTATTCTTCTGGAGAGAAAACTGCATATGGACTCAGACCAAAAAAAAAAATCTAAGTGAAATTAGGTTGAACCACCTTTGAGAGGCTGACATACTGAAAAGATTGACATGTTTTTTTCTCCCATCCACTAAGCACTATCTGAAGTCAAAACCATTGCATTCAAAAAGAAAGAACTACATCACATTTTTTTGTATACTTGAATGCAACTTATGACTTAAACTAAAGAAGTTAGACTGGGTGCATTATGTGTCCAGAAGAAATAATGGTGTGAACAGGTAAACAAGACCAAATGTTTTTCTTCAATTCTTTCACTGTATTTTGATGTAAGAGTATTTTAAGAATCTAAATCTACTTTAGTTATATTAAGTGAAAGATGTGATAAATAGATGATGGTAGATGACTTATTATAGATGATGGGCAATATGAATGCCTAGGTGGTGACACACCTGGCCAAGTGAGAATACACAGAATGTGGTGGCTTTGAGACAGACTGACGCCAGAACCTCTAGCTGCTGCTATGTAGCAGCAAAATTCTTCCCTAGCATAATAAATCCCATTTCCAATTTTGTACTATCATTTTTTTTTGTATTTATTTTTCTTTAACATTTCACATTTACATCCTAATATCTGGAAAAATAAAAACAAATTATCTCTGCTATAAAAAAAAATATATTGATTGGAGACTCAATCATATTTCCTGTCTAAGCAAATTCCAGAAAATCACCCATCAGGTTTTGTCTTTTGTAGTTCAGTGTTTTCATGACTGGCAAGAACAAACTGAGAAAAGATTGGTGCAGAATGTCAAGCGGTTGATGGCAGAATATCATACCCAAAAAACTGAGCATAAATCAACAAAAACCATAAAGGCATAAAAGGGTGAAAATATTAGAAAAGCATGGTTGATACAGAGTAGGGACCTCGAAGTCTGGGGTCCTGCAACTTTTAGACGCGTCCCTGATCCAACACTCCTGCGTCAAATGGCTGAATCACCTCCTCAATATGCAGTCATGTTCTCTGGAGTCATGCTAATGACCTCATTATTTGACTCAGGTGTGTTGAAGCAGAAACATTTAAAAATTGCAGGTCAAAAATAGGCAGCAGTGCTTTTTTCTTAGCTAGAAACCTGGTTATGAAACAACCAAACAAAAATAAGAAATAAAAACTGGCTTAGGCACAAAATTAACTGGAACCTGCCTGTTATCCCTCAGATGAGAGCATTGATTATTTAAAGATGCAATTAGGCATGCAGTATATAAACCCACAATTCAAAGATTGTTGCCCTTTTCATTGTACAATCCTCTTTGTGAGATATCCGAATTCAGCTAAATATAAGTCATAAGTTGCATTCAAGTATATAAAAATAATGGTGTTCAGGAATCAAATGATGAAACAGAATTTTGTTACGCTGCATAAAAACAACATGTTACTTGTTGTGTAGAGCATATTTTAGACATTTTTTCTAAAGCCGAAACCCTAGTTAGCAATGTGTCTGTCTTGGTATCCTCGGAGAGGGAATACTTTAGCAGGGAGTACCATCTTTTCAGCTGTGAGATGAACAAGATCCCTATAACAGATGGTTTGACGCCCACAGAGCCCAGCCTATATCTGCAGAAACACACAGTGGCAAGTACTAAAAGATGCTCAACAGGACCTGTTAGATTTTTTTTGGATGCTTTAAAGAAAAAAACAAACAGATTTGATTGTTTTTTGTTTTGTTTTTTTTTTCCCCTTCTCGTTATCTCTAATTGAAAAAATTATATAATTAATTATTTTTGGAAGGGTTTTGGATACATTCCTAGTTTCTTTTGCACAGCATTATAAATTACAATAAAAATTTTATTAGGCTGAGACAGAATCAGCAATCTGTAGTTTTATGGTTCTTGCATGTACACCTCATGATGGTACAGTATTTCACTGCATTTCAAAATCAGAGGTGACAGACCGATTCCTGCGGAGCGGGACTTCCCTCCCACTGGGCTGCACCGAGTCTCAGATGTGGGATGCTGCCATGGATGGAGGGAGGAAATAAAAAGGGGGGCAGTAATGAAATGAGGAGGAAAAGACAGGAGGAGGAAATAGAGAGAGACAGACAGGCAGGGAGCAGAGTGGGTAGCATGTCAAGCTGCCTGGAGGGAGGTGTGATTCCTCCATGCAGAAATGTAGTCACCTCAAACGGTGTTTTAATGAGGCTGCGCAAGGAGGATAAAAACTAATTACGACAGTGATGTATTGGTCTGCCACATAACTTCTTGAACAGCTCCCTAAAAACAAAGCAGCTTAGGCAGAACAGAGAGGATTACACACAAAAAATAACAGGTTATACGAGCAAAGCCATTATATTTAGATTGTACTAATGTAAAATGACATACTGCATATGCCCCCAAGCTCCTGCTGGTCCTTGCTGCACACTGCACATCAGCTTGCAGAAATAAAGCCATTCCACTCTTATCTTGTTTACAAAAACAAAAAAACTCAAATTTGGCTGTTTGCAAATATTTCCAGATGAAGAAAAACACTGACATTCATTTCAGCAGCGCCAACCATCATGGTTAATAGGATAACAGTTTAAAAACCACAGTTAGCAATAATTGTAAAGCAACAAGCCCTGAAATACTACTACAGAAGTAGTTTTTATGACATCACCAAGAAGTAGCTCTTGGTGATATCAAAATATTTACATCAAAATTGGTGATAACCAATATGAATATTGCCATTACAGCCAAAGATGTATTGATTGATGGCTAGTTAGATAGATGCATACCCATTTAGTACAGTGAAAAGTAATGACCACACCCCTCAAACAACTGCATCACTGCTGCATGCCTAAACACATACTCACCCCCCCGCCCACACACACACACACACATACAGAAACAAGTACAAAATGGAAATACACATTGGTTATTAACATCAGCCCAGTTTTACTAATTGAGCCGATCTGCCAGTGTCGACGTTGGTGCCAATGTATTGTGCATCCTAGTTTATTCTATTTTCATAAATTTGTCTTGGTAAGCAGTTTTTGTTTGGGAATATATCCAGGCAGATTGCGTTTAGGTGTATAAGCTAAAACTATAATGTATTTGGTCAAAAAGTATAATTTTTTTGGAAGTTTAAATCAAATCTATAGTTGTTTGTTAGCAACCAAAATGTAGACGCAAGATTGACAAGCGTACCAAACAAAGTGACATGCACTGTGACCAAACTCTTGCGCTCGCAATTATATGTCTTCAGTCTTAATGAGGTTAGCTCCATAACTGTACAGTTAATGAACAACATATAACCCATTTAATGTGATTATGTTATGACTTTGCTTCCCTTTACATATGATTTAAAACAAAAAAAAAATCAAATAAATGTGAAACTCCATTTCTCTTCTGCCTTACAGAAACCCAGTGAGAGCTGCTTCATACGTGTGAGGAGGGCAGCTAGGAAATAAAAAAGGTGCTGAAACTACAAGCGCATAGAAGTTCTAGCTGGAAATTACAGATTCATCTTGGATCCAAAAAATGTTCACAAAGATAAAAAATATGTTGCTGTCCAACATCCAAACATGAATTCCTATCTTTCATCATTTTCTCAGTTCTTAGCTAAAACAAATCTATATGTTCTTTTTCACATACAGATAAAGAAGATTAGTCAATATTTGGAATGTGCTTTCTGGTAGCTCAGTGTTATGTATAGACTGTGGACCTTTTAAAAGTTTGTCATAGATATTTAAAACACTCATAAGAACAAAATTGCTTGGTCTAAATGTGATAGACATTTGTTATAACCTGACAATGTTGTTAAAATAGACGTTTAATGCCAGTGGAACTGAAAGCTGAATAGATAGAATAGATTTCACTTCAGTCCGAGCTAAATGGTTATTTCACCGTTTTTAAAGGCACTGGATTGTTTTTGAGTCGTCTGTAGTTGAAATTTTCATTTACTTGAAGTAGGCCTAAAGTGTTGACACAAAGAACCATCATTATTAAAAGGTAAAATTAAGATTAATGAACACTTGAGTTTAATTGTAAAAGCACTGAAAAATAAGTACCACAGATCAGGTGTTAGACATTTTCACACTAATATTTTCCAACTCAATTTTGTTTTTCTGAAATGCATGTTTTTTTATAGGTATTCTTTTAATATTCTTAAAGTCTCTTCTTTATTGAGAGTCTTATACTGGCCCTTTCATATTGGCTTAGTTGGAAGTGGGCACTTATGTGAAATTTCTAATCGCTAATTGATGGCCCATGCATGTTGTGTGGGTGCAGCCTTGCTTGAAATAGTACGTTGTTGGGCCAGCACAGCCAAGTTCATCCCACATGGCTGTGAAGATCCTTTGATACTTTTTTTAAGCCTTCTTTTAAGACAAGGAACATTGCATCAAAATTGAGTATGAAGAAGATAAAGCATCTTCAATACACCACAAACATAAACGCCAGCAATTTTATATTCAAGTTTAAACATAGATAGAGAGCAATAAAGGGTAGTTAAATGATTTAAGAGATTACATGACCTTTTATTAGTACTTTTATATAGAAAATGAGTCGATGTTAGTTTTGGATTGGAGAGTTTAGGTCAACTGGTGAAGACTTTTGACAACCAGCAAATCGACCACATAAAACTTAAAAGTTTTCTTCAAGATCCTGCAATGGTTTGGTGAAAGACAATTGACAGGTCGCTGACGCACGTGACACGTGCCGGACACGTTCACGCGCGCGCACGCAAGCGGTCACGCATATGCCGAGTTCAATACCTGCGACAGCGAGTGAAGGGCTTTATTCAGTTCGCTCCGCTGCCCAATTACAAGAGGAAAAGCAGTAGTGGAAATGACAGGCTGCTCGGAGATGACGTTAGTTTTATTGTGAAAGAGTCTGAGAATATGCCGTAAGTTTAGCTACCTGTAAAGTTGTTTTTAAACACGCTACGGTAGGAAGGCGATAAAAACATGTCTGTTCAGAATATTTAGGTGAAGTTATAACGGATTTAACTTCGGTAGATAATTTTACTGTAAATCTTCAGCAGAAACCCCTCTCATTAAAAAAAAGAAGAAGCCTAAATAAAGAGATACTCACCCGTTAGAGGTGGTCTCGGTCTGTTTAGGAAGTGGAAAGTGGACCGAGTCCCTCCTCTCGCCCTCTAATGTCTTCACCGTTTGTCCCCGTCACTGCACGTGCGGCTCCCGCAGCCACCGCGATCCAATGGGAGGAAAACATGAATCCCTCACCCAGAAACTACAACTGAGGGGAAGCTCGGCTCATGACAAACGCTCCGTCTGGCTCCGACTGCTTGAGGAGGAGGAGGAGGAGGAGGAGGAGAAAAGAGGGAGGATTATCATCTCTCCTCGCTTTCCTGTTGTCCCCTTCTTGCTGCACCAAACGCTGCAAGGACTGAACGGCCAGGTGACTTATGTGGTTGCATACAAACAGCAGGCAGGTTAAACTGCAGTATTATAACTGAGCGGAAGTATGCAACCGAATATCTTTCTTTTGGATTAGTTTGATTTTTTTTTCACCCCATGTCAAAATTCAAGACTTTATACACTTCTGAAGTTATCCAGTCCCTTTTTTGTCAAAAAAAATTATATATATATATATATATACACACACAAAATGGAAGATATTAAACTTGAAAAAAAATAGAAGGTATGGACGAACAAAGAGGTAAGCCTTAAAAAGTATAACTAAAGAATGTTGAACTGAAACTGAAACAACGGACCAGTGTATGAAGGAAAGATGGAGATAATAGATGAATAGATGGTTGATAAATGGAAAAAGAGACAGATCAGCAAATAAAAAACTAACTAATGGCTCCTGGATGGATAACTTGGAGGATTAGATGGATGGATGATGGACAAATAGATTGGTTGGTGGATGAAAGATGCAGAAAACATGGAAAGATGCATCGTTAGAATATTGGATGATGAATGGAGTAGATGGATGACCAAATGAATGAGTGGTGGCACAAATGAATGGGTTAAAACAGACAAATGGAAGAATAGATGAAGGGATAGATGGTGGAATAAATGGAAGTACAGATGAGTGGGTGGACCAATATGAACTTAAAAGTTTTTCCACACTATTTTCAATTAATACTAAGTTGTTCAGCCTACACGTGAATCCCATAAAGCTATCATTAAGGTTAAATGCATGTTTTTTGGGGGTCTTCTTAGGAAAATTTATATTTCATAAAGGAGCTATCCAGACTAATCCATAATTCAGAAACGTCTGACAAGGGGCTCAGGGGAGGGTGGGCCAAAGGCTGGAAAGGGCACTCTGGGGACCCACAGTCACACAAGCAAGGCTGTGACGAAAACAAAACGCCCTCTGACCAGAAGACGAGGAGCTTGTTGCCAGGCAAGCCTGACTGAGGAGCGGCAACCACCGACGGGGAGACGGATCGGAGCCATGCTGCTCTCGACAGCCACCGAGACACATCCTGCAAGATTCGACACAAAGTTGTGGTAAAAAAAATAAATAAATCAGACAGAATTATGACAAACTGAACTTATTTATTGAACAAAATAATCCAAACCCAACAAAACAAAACTTCAAACAGTGACTTTCTCAGGCTCTCTGAACAAAAATGTCTCAACACAATGTGCCTCCGCAACTCGAGGTCAACGTCCAGAAACTATTCGATGGAAAGAAAAACTGATGTACACCACATGCTAATGTGCATCTATATTAAGCTATGTTTAAAATGAAACTTAAAACCACATCCAGTGCATTCACTTATTAAATGTCTAAAATCCTTTACGCAAGACGTGCAATCAAACCCCCCTAAAAAAAATATATATACATATAAAAATTGTCTGAACTGTGAATAACCCAACTAGTGAAAAACAGACTGTAACAAGTTTTGAAAAACTGTCATTTTCTCCTTTTTTTACCCTAACATTAGTTGATTAATGAGTCAAAGCAAAATGAATTGATGCCGACTGTCTTCGACTGCGAACTTCTGGAGGCACACGACGAACATTTACAACCAAGGACCAAAACAAAAATTACTAATGGTGATGAGGTGTGAGGCCTTTCATTTACCACAGTGACACCCAGTGAAATAAAAAGGGAGCGCAAAATGCCAGAGTGCTTAAAATTTATGATCGTGCCCTTATGCTGTAGGAAAGTTAATAAAGATCTTAATCAGAGGAGCATTAGACCTGACAAAAAAAAAAAAAGAAAAAAATCCACTGTAGAGAACAGATTGTAACAATGTACAAATATACAAACATTCCTTCCTATGTACAGAGAGCCCTTAAAACAGACTGGACAAAAGCAATAAAATAGGAAAAAATAAATTAAACATAATATATAAATAAACAGAAAAAGTGAGATTAAAAGCCTTTCCATTTTTTTTTTGTTTGTTTTCTTTTGCTTGGGACTGTAAAAAAGAAAAAAGAAAGTGATCCCGTGTTTTGGCTGGTATACCAAACGTGCTCTTCTCATCCTTTATAAAAGTCTCTGTGATCTGTGTGATTTAAAAGCAGCCGACCACAGGTCAACCTCACCGATCTTGGTTCAAGTGACTTGGATCGAAGTGGTTCGGTTTACGTTGAAAGCTCAAGAAGTCTGGTGTTAAAACGGCTCTGAAAAAATATTGACGGGAGAGACGAGGGCGTTCTGAAAACAATCTGGGGAGTCAGGATGCTTTCAGATGTCCAGAATGCCAAGATGTCACCATGTCCACATCTTGTTGAAGCTACTGCTGTCTGCATCTGGAAAAGATCAAAAAGCACAAGGAAATGAGCCATTTCTTAAAACTAGAAACACTTTAAGCCTTTACTTCTGTTAATTATTATGACTATGGTTACAGGACAATGAAAACTCAAGTCATTTTTTTATGGTAATTTATTATGTCAGTAGAATAATAATAATAATAATAAAACTGATGACCTGCTACATAAATGCAGTGTGAAACTTAGAGTACAACTTTTATTCAACTTCATCCAAGTTATTTGGTTAGTTGTAAAAAAAAAAGGGGTTTTGTCAAAGATGCAAGAAGCCCAAAAAAATACATTCCTCAATATTGTATTGAAATACATAAATTTATGTCAAATGTTGAGATAAAATAATCCTTTTCCTGGACACATTGCTTACAAAAACACGCAGATGATGCTTTACCTTGCAGAAGGCTCAGTAGCTTTCAACTACAGCACAGTCAACATAGTCTGGACTCCACAATCCACAAAGCTCTAAAAACAGGACTTTGGATCAGAAAACAGGCAGGACGAGTACTTGCTTAAAAATTCCTATACACAACAGCAACCTCTTGTGGTGGGACTGAATATTACAATAAAAACAAAAGAAGTGGGGACTTGGGCAGAAAAAAATTGACAAATACAGAAGACCATTTTGAAAATTTGTTTTGAGCAAAAAGGGTGGAAACAAGTGTTCCCAATACATTGGAGTAAGACAAATAATCACCTGATTGACAGGCCGAGTCCTTTGGTCTGGGGTCCAGGGTGCTGGGGTGTACTGCGTGTTGGAGGTGAGAGAGGTCAGATGTCAAGCGAACAGCAACAACACAACAAGCTCCCTTCTTAAGGAAAACTGAAGCTAGAGAACCTAAAGTATATTTCACAAACAGAAACTACAGTGGAGGAACCAATACAGGCTAAATCTGCTTCGTTTATGCGTCTACCTGGTAGGGGTAGGGATTCTGTGTGTAGCTCATCGGCATCTGTGGAACCATCACCCCGCTGAAGCTGCTGTAGGAGTACGGCTGCTCCAAGAACCAGTAAGAACAGGCATGTTAACAGTTAATGTGGAGAGGAAAGAGAGCGGAAAGAGGAAAACAGTTACCTGATTATACGGGTTGCCTCCGCTGTAGACAGGTGAGGGCTGTGTGACCCCTCCTCCCATTGGTGAGCAACACGCACAGTAGATATATTGGCTAGGACTCATCCAAGGAGCGGATCCAACCAGACGGGATGGTATGGATCCTGAAAAAAAATAATGAAAACAAAGTAAAAACCACACTGAACTTTCGCAAAGGGACACTTTTTATCCTTTTGTAAGTAGTGGGCATTTCCGTTAGTTCTAGATGTTTTTGTCAAGCTTTCACACACTGAAGAACACTGATGCAAAGCGTGAGCAGGATTATTCATGTTTGACTCCGCTAAAGTTTAAAGACAAAGAATTAGCCCCAGAAGTGAAGGTGAAGAGAAATGAACATACGTGGACTCCGTTGCTTCATGATTGCAGGGCCCAGCTTGAGTTTCCGCCCTTTAAAACTGATCTGTTGCTGTAACGGATAAAAATATATATATATTTTCTGCGCATTATGCAGAAAATCTAAATCCTGGTAGTTACATAAAAGGTTAATGCATAAAACATTCACTGACCTCAATGATTGACTGAATGTTGACATCTTCATTGAAATACACAAACCCGTACCTAGGAACACACAGAGCAGTCCGCACACTTAATGATGGAAAATATGAAGCAGAAAACAGCCATAAAATCCATTCACTCATTTCAACTAATAATGTACAGTAGAAAATTGTGCAAACCCTTTAAAGAATGGACCCAACTGTAGGTCTGCGGTTGCATCATTCACCAATATGTGAGCAGGAAGGTCTTAGAGCCAAATGATGTGACTGATGTGTTGTGTTACCACAGGGTGGCAGTATTGGCTACTGTCCTTCTGACATACATTTAGTGAAAGTAGAATCTGGGCTAAACGTCACAAACCTCTCTACAGAGTGGTAAATCAAGTAAAAGTGTAACATTAACACAAAAGGAAAGTTCAGGCTGTGTATCTGTTAGGGAGAAGGGTGTGTTTAAGAATAAAACTTTAAATCAGTGAAACTTACTTTGTACATGTTTTTATATATTAAAAAAAGCAAATTCCTAGTCTTATTGTCTCTACTTAACACAAATTTGCACTAACTCTTCTTCAACAAACAAACGTGTATGAACTTTAGACTACGATTATGACAACACACCTCTAAACATACTCACCCTTTGCAAACCCCTCCACGGTACGTGATTATTTTTACTTCCTTGACATTGCCATATCTTGTAAAGAAGTCCCGCATTTCATTTTCGTCCACCTAACGGTTTAAACGACGAAACAAAAACAATAATCAACTGCTATGGTTTTTAAACACATAATCTTTTGTTAATTGGCCTATGATCATTTGAGATTGACTGTCTAAAATGAATTAATCCCATTGCTGTTTTTTTGACACTATTTCCAAGAAATATAATACACAAGATTATGTTTTTTTTTTTAAATGAAGGAACAAAAATATTAGCCTAAGTTCAACATCAGTCCACACAGAACCATCACTAACCTACATATGATTTCAATGAAATTGAAGTATAAGCGCACCTTCATGTCGATCCCACCCACAAAGAGGGCGTTGGGGGTCAGTCTGCCCTCTGGCAGAATGTATCCATTAGATAACTTCAAAGAAGGTACAGTCTGGGTAATGGTTCTTGGCTTGTTGAAATCCTTGCAGAAAAAATAAAAGTTACATTTGAGATATATGAATGTCGTGTGAATATCACAAGAAACGGCTCGCAGTAAAATCTAAGTCGTTGGAAAGTTTGGAGTCGGGGCTTGTTGACATTTTGAACTTGAGTAGCCAGCTACATTGTCTAACAACATGGCGGCCATGTTCTCGCCTGAAGAAAAAAAAAACCTTTACAGGAAAAAAATGGATGCATGCAAATTCAACCATTTCTTTATTCAATTTTTTATTCAAACAAACCATTATTATTGTAACTAACATGGAGTTTTGTTGTGGAACTTAACGCGCTAGTTTTCAGACGATTACGAATAAAACACACCTCGGCGCTTCCGCAATTGAACGCTCCCGCTTTAGCTCACAAGTACCGACTTTACCACTGCGCACAAAAGGAAACAAAGACACGTCGACCAAAACGTCTGCGCTGTTAATCTGACTTACTTTTTTGGGGGCGAATCTAATCTTAAGTATGGGTTAAATTCGTTTTTAGTCAAGGTAACATTTGCTACTGGAAATATTCCGCCGTTTTTAGCTCGAGCTAGCATCGAGTTAGCTAGCACATCATCGTTAATACCAACAATCTCCAGTCAGCGCGCTCTTTTAAATAATTTATACCTCTAAGATGCATACTTTGTTGTACATGGAGACTTACCATGGCTAAAACGATAAAAACCAATAACTTAGGTTGACCCTCAAGCCGACGACCTGTTGCGTTCTGCCGAGACAACCACTGCACTAAGACTGCACCTCGCCCAAGGCCCACCACGTGACTCAAGATGCTGTGAGCCTTCACGTCAATAACAGTTTTTTCACACAAACAAATATGTAAAATCCAGATTATCGATTCTGAAAATGTGGGGAAAAAACTTTGAACGATCTATCAAATAAAAACGTTTTTCTAATTGTTTATCATAGTGACTTAATTTATATGACTTTTAAATTGTACATTTGGAATAATTTTTTATATTAGGCTATTTAGTAAAAACCTTTTTTAATACCAGATTTTACGTTTTACCTGCTTTTTTTTAGCTGGGTAAACATTAAAACACTTTTTTTTATTCAAAAATGTTTTTTTTATTAGCATGAGCTAATTTATGAATCCTTAATCACGGCTTCAGATTAATTGTAAATTTCAAAATAATAGTCACAAATAAATAAAAGACAAATAAAACTATTTGTGAAATAATATCATTTTCGCTTTACCTATCTAAATGTCGTTTAATCTCAACACCTCGGTTGTAAACAAAATTATTCTTAGGTTTCTATTTTTACAGGCATTCATAAAGTAACCCCAATTAGCAAATATTTTTATATTTATAAAAGTGTAAATATAAAAATATGTATATATAAAATGTATAATTTGAAAAACAATTCATACTAAAAATCTCCATCAAGCGCGTGCACTGTTTTTAGCCTATCGTCTTTTGACGGAAGAAGAAGAAGAAAAAAAACGGTAATTGACGTTGCCACGGAGACGACAGTGCTTGGAACCAACGAGTGTTTCCGTTTACAGCAACCTGATGGTTCTACCCGGGTTAAAGTTTTCAGCGGAGAAAATATCAGCACGTTGATGTATTTTCATGTTTAGCGGGTGAGTGCTGCCATGTGTTTTTAAGTAGAGCTTTATTCGACACCGCTGGTTGTAAGTGACGAAATACACCAGCTGCACACGGAAGAAGGTACACAGGTGTTTGGTAATAAGTGTAGATTAGGGGGAAAAAATGTCCGACGTTATGTGGAATGTTGTTCTAACATGTCAGTTTTCTTATCCCCATTAGATTTGTTGAAGCTGAGCAATTATGGAGCGACTTCAGAAGGTAAGGTTTTGACTCTCTTTCTGATGAGTTGTCCAGCTTTTTCCATGTTTTAATTCACTCAGAATTTTGGAAAATGATAAAAAAAAATAAAAAAAACTATTTTTTGCTGACATGCTTATCTATAGTTTATGCTGCATAAAAATAAAGTGCCTTGCAAAAGTTGTATTCGTAACTCTTGAACCCTTTCACATTTGTGACTTCGTAATTTCAGACTTACTGCATTTTTGAATTGCTTTATGCAACAAAGGATGCATGTTTAAAAAAAATTTTAAACCCGTAAATATGTGAGAAAGTGAAAGGGAGTTAAGTACAGGTGCACACCATACTTATTGGATTTTTATTTTTAAAAGATCTCTTAAACCTTGTTTCCTGACCCCTTCATGATTATCACTGAAAATCTCAATAAAATGCATTATTGTCTTGATGTAATAACACGTGAAAAGGTTCAAGGGGTGTGAATACTTCTCCAAGACACTTTATTTAAATTCTAACATTGTTTGTCATTCACATTTGGAGACTATGTTTAACATAAACACAAAAATGTTTCTTTCCCTTTTCTGATCCCCACAGATGGAAGATGACTCCCTCTATAATTTGGGTCAGGCTATAGATCACCCTTTCCCCCCTCCACTGCCTGAAAAGTGTGCTGCAGATCCATCAGACCTATATCAAGTAAGACTGTCAAACACCATTTTACTTGTTAGCAAGTTCAGTTTTTTATGTTTCTTGAACTCCTGTCATTTTACTCTATCAGTTGGTACAAAGACATAGTAACTACCCTCCCATCATTGAGACCAATACATGCCGCGTGGCTGTTCCATTTAAAGAACAAAGGCACCACCGAACTCCCAGCGAGTCTATCGGAAACAACTACAGCCCCAAGGCGCAGTACTTGAAGATAGAAAACCTCAGCAGACAACGTCCATCACGCAAGTCCTTGGCAACGGCAACTGGACCAAAGACATTGTAATAGTACACACCACACACGTTGCAAAAGAAGTTTCACACGTGCCGTAATCTTTAACTTGAAGAAGTTCATGCGTTTGAATTTTGATTTTCACAGGAGGCCATCGCGCAGCCCACCTAGCCCCCCTCAGACAAAATCCAAGAGAAGAAAGACTGAAATATTCAGGAGCCCGCCAATGAGTCCCACTGAGCAGCTTGTCATCATGCACAAGCAGGAGGAAAGTCAGAATGCCCAGAATGAATACAGTGAAAAAGACCTCGAGGTAAGAAGCGGTGAATTATTTTGCAGACTTCTAGAGATTGTTCTCCTGTATTTCATTTGACTTCATTGGCAATATTAACTTTTCTCTCTCAGAGGTATACATACTACGTCAAAAGAGGTGTCCCCTTGTACATGTTGGCCCCCTACCCAAAGCAGTCCATGATCAACATTAAGAATATGCTGCCTCCTGAGCCAGAGGAGGGTGTGAAAAAACCCATCCGAACCCTGAGGAATAAGTTGACAGAGGAGGTCGAAGACGGTTATTACTTCAACCTCAGGAAGAGCATAGGTAAAATTGTTTGTGTTTACAGTGAATAGAAAAACTGTATTTAGTGCTGATAAAATGCACTAAATTTTATCAGCGCTAAATACTTTAGCGCTGATAAATTCATCCAAAATGTTGTCCACCTGTACCATGACACAAATCTCGTGAACGTAAACACAAAGTAATATTTCATAAGGGGAAAAACAATATGTATGTGCATTTTAATTTGGCAGAATGATTTTTTTTTCTTCACAAACTGGTTTGCGAAGCTGTTCATAATTTCATTCAGACTGCCAATGCCTTTCCTTCCCTAGAAAAAATATTGTCCACGGCATGTTGCTACCACCACCAGATGTTACTGTTGTCATCGTGTTGTTTTTTTAAGTATCGCTCAGTAAGATTTTTGTGCCAAACTTAACTTTTGGAATTGTGGCCTAATGGTCACGTTTGACTTTATTAGAACATTGTCCACTTTCCGACAAGTTTAACAGTAATAAATTATGAAGCACCTTCTGAAATCATTGTAATAAAAGCTTTGATCTTTTTCACCAGTGGATTACATTCTAATGGACCCATCTGAGGGCCAGAGACTCACAATAAACAACATTCCAAAGCCTTTTCCCAGGAGGGTGATTCGTCCTCCAGTTCCCTGGGCGATTAGCTACAGGGAAGCCAAATCGTGGCAAATTCAGCATCTTTTTAATGTGTGTCCTTTCATGGGCCTCTTACAGCAAATCTGGATAGACCGGTAAGGCAAGCTGTTCATTTATTGGCTTGTGTAGTTCGTATCTTTTTTAGAACATTTAAAATACGTCGTTAGTAAGTGCAATGCTTACTTCGACTTGCAGCTGCAACTTGTAAAAGTGGCATGTGAATCATAATAAATGGCTTGAATGTAATTACAAACTGGCTTATAAGTAGTGGTGGACATTTACCTGATCATTTATCATTTATTGTGAACATTTCTTATGATAAGAAACTTGATTTATTGTTATTTTGATAAGTTTCAGTGATGTGGAACAACAAACAAAAGTGATTCTTTATCTGTAACGTAATTTTTATTATTTCCTTCAATGTTCCACTGTTGACGCGTTTCATATTTATTATTTCAGCTATTCATCCTTGAGATTTGTGAAAACAGCAGACCTGTGCTCCACCACCTTCCCTCTTTCGCCATCTGAGTTTGCTGTCTTTATCCGGAAACAATGCGAAGCCACCAGAAAGGAACTGGATGAAGGGTGTGTACTTCCTGTCGGATAAGCTGTCTTCCTCTCGCACTACAGGTTGATGTCCAGAGTTAATCAGCACAGTTGGATTTCACATCTGCTAGTTTCTGCCAGGAAACCCAACTGAACCTTAAGCCTGATGTTCCCATCTTGTCCACTTTGTCAGACACGTCAGACTGCTTTTCACTGAATTGCTTAAACCGTTTCATTTCAAGTTTATTTGTGTCTTTTTTTAAATTTTTTTTGTCTTGCCGATTTCCAAGAAAATTGGCAAGAATGTTGCTTAACCACTATCAAACTTTTATTTTTAGGACTTTGAAAGATTTGATGAAGCAAATGGGAACAAATTATGTGTCTTTGGAACAGGAAAGCTTCCAGTAAAATACCATAAAATAGAATGCATTGCAAAAGCATTCACAGCCCTGAAATATCTCCACTATTTTGCAACCTCTAATCTATTTTATGTATGGAAAACAAACATGAATTAGCAGATCATTAAAAAAATGTACTCTGTTCTGGCTCTGTTCTATATGATTTCAAATTTGTCTGCATATTTACACAGATACAGAGACGGTTAAATTTAAAATGTGGCTTCTAAAGGTTTTTTGATAAGATTGATAATGATACTTTATTTCAGACATACATTTCACCAACAAAACATAATAGTAAAGTAAGACTTTCATATTTCTAAGTGTAAATAGAAGAATTACCAAATTACCAAATATAAATGCAAATACATCACTTGTTCAGTGACTGAGTCTGAAGAGGAGTGTGACAAAATAACAAGTAGGTTGTTTGACATAGTTAAATTTTTCTTTGCCTAAATATTAAAAAATAATTTCTGTGAAATTAAGAAAGAAGAAAACTAAAGTTTGTCTGCATACGGCCAGTCTAAGAAAATACTAAGGTATTTTGGTTATTTGATGCAAAATACTAAGAAAATGAAGTCACAGACAAACTTTCTTCATAAATAATATTTATCATCTCGGTTTTCTTTTATCATGAGTACGTATTCCTTCAACAAATACAATCATAAACGAACACTGTTCAGATTTGAATTATTGATGTTCACAGTAGATTATGTTGTCGTGAAAATAAATCTTTAGAAATATTCCCTGATAAACTGAATAAAGGTATGTTTCTGGTCACTAAAATATGTTCTGAAAACTGAGATCAAGATAGTTCTATTTAGACTTTAACAGAGATGTCTTCTT